TTTAACCATTTAATTATTTGTGTGATCAAGTTTTCACAATGGGGAAAAAAGAAATTAAAGAGCTATAGGGGACTGACAGCAGCTGTGAATGAGTTTTGTTTTGCATTACATGATCGACTGCCACAGCTTGTTACCTCATTCAGGGGCAGGCCTAAACCATACAGATGGAGAGTTGGGGAAGGGCTATCTGTGCATCTTTAGCATACAGCCTGAATGCTAACCAGCCATCATCATTTTATTACCCAGTCAGGCACACATGGACCAAAGCTGACATCTCAGCTTTCCTGCTGTGAATCGGCTTCTGTGAAATAACATCATTACATCAGTGATAATAGGCTTCACTCTCATTTATGCACACAATATTCCTCTTGAGTTCCCGATTTCTACAAACAGAGGGAACCAGTCTAACTCAATGTGGGGTAATAATTAAATATCCACAAAACAAACAGTACATCTCAATAAAATGGAAATGTGCAAATTAGTTTTCCATTGTGTGGCTTTTCTTTTATGCAAGTAACACTGCAATAACACCACCAAAACACCTTTATTATACTTGCTGTGTAGACGTCTTACTGTAGTACCTAATCCAGGCACTGTAACGTTTTACCTCTGAAGTCCCCAACCGACCATTCAGCCAAGCTAACTCATGTTAAAAGTCATTCAAATCAAAAACCCTGTGTATCTCTAAACACAACTGAAATGCTCCTGAAGATCCTGTTAATGCCACAGTGAGTAGTTCAGATGTCTTGAAAACAGGATGCAGGAGAGAAAAGGCAGGACTGCGTGGGCATTGGAAGGGCATGACAGGACACCGTGTAACACACTGAAAATGCATGGAAACCATAGGCTTTGCCTTATCAATATACACAGATCTTAAACTAATACAGGATGGGTATTTAAACCAATGGGTCTAGTGAAACCAGCCTTAAACATGTGCATCCTTTACTATAATGGTTGTAAAACTGACAGGAAAGTTATGTGAAAATGTGTAAACACAGCTTAATATAGGCTGCAATAGTCTATATTGCTTTCCCTCTTGGAACATTACAGTAGTTGCAATAGTGTACAGCAGGATTAACACTAATTGTTTCCTTCACTAGACAAAACTATGTAAAACACTGTTTTGTTATAAAAGTGCTCTAACATTTTGGCTATAATGGGAACAGCCTCGATCAGGGAATAACACTGTTAAGCTATATGACATAATATTTGTACTGTTTCAAGATTCCATTGTCTCTGCCTCCCTACACAAGGGACAATTACAGTAGGTAGTGTGGGCGCTCATTTAACACTGTAGTTACAGAGATGTTTCCACAACCAAATGCTAAATCTGGTAAACTCACACAGCTACTGATCCTCAAATTCAAACTTTTCTCTGTCCCCTTTCTCCTTCTCTCTGCCACTGCCTCCTCAGGGAAACCCTTTATGACTTAAAATCCTGTCTAATCCTCGTGGAAACAAAATTGACGACTCATTTCCCAACGTGTTGTTTGTTTAAGCTCCAGCACTGGGCTGAGGGTTTATAAAGGCAGTAGGAATGTGCACTGTTGGGGCCACCTGATATCTTCACTCTTCCTTCTGTGTTAAGCTATCATCAGTGTAAAATTCTTATCACAGTGCTGTAGCCATTGTTTATGAATGACAAACTGGAGTACAGAGGTGTGAATGAATGTCACTGCTGTTTGTCTCGCTCACTCTCTCAAACATGTTCACTCTACCATACTCTGCAAATGTGCCAAGTTTAGCTTTCACAGTCACTGTGCAACACACAGCGGGACCACTTCCAACAGTGTGGAAGTTTTCCACCATAACTCTTCCAAAATGCACTTTGCAGGCTGCTAGCATAACTCAAAGGAATACAAGATCAGTCTTGGAGCCCAATTACAGAAGGCATACACAGCTGAGGAGGCAGGGTAAGACTCAGAATCACTCAAGGTATTCAGCTGTGAATGTAACACCCACTGCAGCCAATGGTAAAGTTTCCACTGGCATTTCCCATTATAGGCACAGTGGGGGAAATGTCCAAAAACAAATATATGTGTGCTTTGTATTATAGGTAGACTAGATGTTCACATAAATAGTGTGACACAAGAGGAGCTGATGTAATGCTATAAAATGTGGCCATCAGATTCACTATAATGCCTCCACGCCAAAACTTCTGCTATGTCTATGACGGTGATCCATTTTGCCTCAATCCATGGAATTAGGCAGTATCTATAAAACAGCACCACTGAATGAGACAGTAACCTAGCAGAGGGTCCACATAACAGCGCTGTCTATCACAGCAGATCAGTGACACGTTCTGAAGAAGTGACAAACCTTTGCCTTAAGGGGGTCATCAGTGAAACAATAAGGCAGCACCTTATAACTTATCTGTTTGTTCTCAGGCATCCACTGCCAGAGAAGAATGAATGAAGGCTGTGTGCTGAGCTCTTAAGAGAGCTCGTGTCTGGCCTTGCTTATTTTGCCAATGTCAGGTGTTCTCATTATGTGCATACAGATGTACATAAATTCAGCATTTGACCTCAAGCTTGAACCAGATGTTCGCTATGTATAATTTTCTGACAACAGTAAACTACTCAATAAAATACGAAGCTTTGAAAGAAAAGAAAAATAGGGCATCGTAAGTGCAGATTTTTGCCATTATATTTACATATTGTTCTTCTGTTTAATGTGGACCAAGTTCAATGCTCATAAAGGCCATTTTGATCAAAGTTATCATATGCTTCATATGCCTATGAGAAACTGCAAGCTAATAACTAGAAACACTAAATAAATGTGGTCCAGCTTTCTGGGCCAATCATCACCACTACAAGCATTTCACCAAACCACAAACCCAGAATAGGTGAGAGGCTTGTGTTATGCATGTGCCTTGTACAACTCAGTTGAGTACAGTATCTCACAGCAGGCCAGAGCTAGAGGGGGTGTAGATTCATTTTGAGTCAAGTCTCACCAGAGTGTAAAGTTGTGTGCATTAGTGACTACAAGTCACTCATTGTGGAACAAGGAAGACCAATGAAAACCAATACCATTCATGCTCAGGCAACAACTGTTCCACTGCCTCACTGGCAACTCTGTAAGTTGATAAACTGGAATGCAAGTACAAACTCTTGAAAAAGTCTGTATTCCTTGGCAAAACCTCTGCTTCCACTGTAGTATATGCAAAAACATGGATTCAAGGGCAGTTAATTCCATTTAGGGTTGTTCATTACCAGTACAGAAAAGACTGATGAAACACTTGCCTTCCCCTTCCCTTGTAATCTGACAGGGAGATATAGGGTGACTCCTAAAATAAGAGCTGAATCCACACTGTAGGCCCAGTCACTTCCATATCTCACAGTATGAGGGCAAGTAATGACAAAGCTCAGCAGTTCTCTAACGAGACTATAACAAATGGGTGGGCTGTATATAGGTTATTACAACACCAGTACACACACGGGTTTGGACATGTGCTTGTGTACATGCCTGATAAATTCATATAAATGCCTATAATTAGAAAGGCTATTTTAAAATGCAATGCTTATGGTGCACTTTCCAGGCTGCATTCAAAAAGGTTTAAAATACTAGGTTTTAGACGTGTTTCACTTTAATTACAAAACTATTAATTACAAAAGGTATATTTCTAATATATAATACCCATTAGGCAAATTCTCCATTAGGGAAAAAATGTGCAGCAAAGCCAAACCATATTTCCTTATCTTTTTTAACCCATTACTATTTCCTATGTAGCATGACAAAGCACAGATAAAAGCAGTGACATGCTAACAGGTGTGTAATGGGTCTGCAGAGTGACACTGTACCAATGACAAGTGAGCAACTGTTTAACCTCTAGATTACAAATGTAATTAGGTAAATGCAGATGAATAAATCTAAATTAATTTGACTAATTAGAAAGATACAATGTTAATGAAGTTGACAAGGCAGTATTTCTGCATCTCCTATGAGGTCTATCCATGCTTAATGTAGCCAGTGCCTTGACTCAAGCTGTACTCCATACAGTTGTGGTCAGATCCCATAATGTAGGCCTGAAACAAATGGTTTCTGACACAAAAGGCAAGGCACAGATAAAGATGTTGCCTACCTAGATAGCATGCAGTGACCTCACACAGACAGAAATAAATGCTTGTCACTTGCAACCATTTATCAGACCAGTTCACTTTACCTGCTTTTCCTTACCACTTCTCCATGGAAAAACTGATTTGCAGAATTTTTGTCCCTTATGAAAGTGATCAGACAGTTTCTTTATGGTTTAAAGACACCACAGTTAAACCCTTACTATAAAAAGATTTAAGGAGAATGCAACAGCCCATTACATTTTTCTACATGATAGATATCAAGTAAAGAAAGTTTATTAGTTACTAGTAATATTTCTGTGAAAATATCAGTGCTACTGCTTAAATAGTAGAATAAGATGCATTTCAGTCTCAACTAGTTATTAATAAAGTGGAAATCACTATAAATGCTTAAAATCACACACTTCTACATGTAGTACTTTTAAATTTGAAGTTTGTGATGTGCTTGAAAATATGAATACTGTCATGGTAGCCTCATTTTCGGCAGCAATAAATCTGATCAAACAATAATGTGACTTTCCTTTGACTATACATAAAGACTCAATATATCATCAAACTGCATATTCTGCTACAAAGTCTGCTCAATCTGAGTAATTTAGATTTTTCCAAGAAGTATAATCATTTTCAAAATGTAAAAGAGATATACAGTAAGAAAGAGATTTGTCTGGAGATTATTTCATAGCTAAAACTGTTTTGTTATTGCTTATAAAAATTCACAACACACGGTTGCCGGCTGTAAAGGTAGATCTTAACTGATGATAGCATTAATGCAAGTTGCTGTGGAAAAACATTAAGTCAAATTCAAATCTGAAATGGGTGACACTAGAAAGGAAGGAAGTGAACTCTGCTAAAAGTACAGAATACTTGTAAATGTGTATTTCTAGGTGTCAAGGAACGAGGTGTAATTTTTACTGGTAGTATACTTACTGGTTCGTGGGAGGTGCAGAGAGGGGGAACACCACCTCTTCTTCCTCGTATTCCGGTCCATCCTGCATATCGCTTTCGTCCATAGTGCCGCCGATCCCCACACAGCTTGGAGGAGGAGGAGGTGGCAGTGGGGGGAAACCAGTGGGCCCATCCGGGCCGGTTGGTGTGGGTGAAATCCGACTAACTGGATCCTCCGAAGTAGGAGAGCAGCACATGCCGCCCACTGTCCCTGAGCTTGTTCCTTGGAAAACTGAATGTCCACCTCCTGCTCCGCCACTCCCTGTTGCAGACAGCACTGGTCCGGTCATATCCCCACTAGGCATGGGATAGATCATACTCATACTCATGTCGGGAAGTGAGTCCGGTGAAGTGTTTGAATGTTGGCGGACCGCTGGTGTGTGTCCAAAATCTGCGGTTCGCACTCTGCTCGACCTGGGATAGTGGGGGAAAGGGGCCGTGTCTGGGCCTCCTCCGCCTGCCACCCCTGTCCCTGTCGTGACCGAGCCCGTATCCTCACTGCTGACCTCCGCAGCCATCATATTACGAAAACGCGTAGAGGGGAAAAGTCCAGAAGGGAACTTGCCCTTCCCCTCTGTTATTACAATACTCCTTCAGTGTTTGTGCTCCGAGAAAACAACAACCAAAGTTTCACAAAAACGCGTTTAACTAGCCAGCTAACATTAGCCAATAAGCTAACTTAGCTTATTTGGCTGCACTAGCGGGTGTTAGCTTTACCTCGCATTCGTAGGATGCAAGAGAGCCACGCTAACGCTAGCGGGACGGCTAGCAGCTTCGAGACACTTGAGGAGTTCTTGCTTGCAATGTCTTCATTGTTTCCTGAGTTTAAAGTTCACCCAGAATCGATATTTCGAAACAGACATGAATAATGTTTACAATATCAATTAACGAATATCTTCTCTTAGTTTGTTCGGACTTCACCCTTGACTCCAGGCTGACCATTTATCGGAGAGTGTTGTTTTATTGTCACTGTTGTGTGTAATCCCCGTCTTTTCCAGTGTTGTTTTCTTTCCTTCTGAGTTTCTAGTCGTTTCAAATAGTATCCAAAACAGCCCGGCCTTATTGCCTAAATCCTCGGAACGGTATGCTCTTCTATGCAAACTATCATGTCGTAAACCAAAATACGTTTTCTTGCGTTTACAAGCTAAGCTCGCCTTTATTTCTGCGTTTCGGGGCTGGTGGTTTGCCCGCTACTGCGCTGCTCTTTCTCCTCTCCTTCTCCTCTCCAGTCACCGAGCAGACACAGCCAAGTGAACCCAGAGCGGCACTGATTCATTCAATCCATGATATCTTCAATCAGTACTTCGAGACAAAGGGTTGTATTCTAGCCGACAGTAAGACAGATTTAATGTGATAAGCAATTGCTTAAAATACGGATTTATAAAGTTCTTCTTTCATTCAGACATGCAGCACCAATAGGGTATTTGTCAAAGCCGGGCCTCTGTACACATATTAGGCTACTATCATATTTTGTCTGTCTATACTCAGTAAGTTTTAATTGATAGCTTTAAGGCAATCAGCCATACTGACCAAATCACACTTTTGGTTGTCTGATTAAGTTGTCATAGTTACAATTTTACTGACTTATTATTTTATTCCTTATTGTGTCTCGATCCAGTGATTCTCTCTCATGGGTGATATAGTCTACATTAAGCTTGTCAGTCTCCTGGATTGGCATGATTCAGTCTCCTCAGCTTGGTGGTTTACATAATATGCATTGTTTATTTCTGACTGCTGATGACAACATTAAATGTCTAGTGGAAGTTTTAAATTGACACTCTGTTAAGAACAATCTGAATATAAATTTGGCTTTGTGACAATCTCTTTATTCATTTTAGGAAGAAAGGGTATCTGGTGTAAATTAAACCCATTTGGCCACTGTACCTTCATTTTGGGAGTGTACTCTGTGACTTTACTCATTAGTGTACAGCTGCCCAGTTTTTTTTTTCCTTCACAACATATTATGGTAACAGCATTACACAAAACAAAACTTTCACCTGCCTCATTTTCAGAGCAAATTGCTCTTTTATGACCACTCTGATGTGGGTCAGCTTTAAATACCCCTCTGAACATCTGTATGTCCTTTGCAGGCTGGGAAATTAATTTTTAAGCTCCAATAAGTTAGCTATGGGGTTAACCTTGACCTAACAGAGCTTACATGATAGTGAACAGTTAAAGCAGTGGGACACCACTGTTCTCTGCCTACTATATCCAGTCATGCCCATGGGGCAGTGGCCATCACCATTTATTTACCGTCATCTCTCTTTTCTGTTAGAAAGATAGGTAGATGAGTTTTTTAAATCACAAATGGATGTCGTCACCTGCTGTTTTTTGCTAATTTGCAGTGTGAGTGACAATCTTTCAATGGCCCTCTTCTTCTTCTTCTTCTTCTTCTTCTTCTTCACTCTCCCTGTTTTCTGAGACAGCCTGTCATGACGAATGGCTGCTGACACATGACATAACAAAGACAGACAGCATGTGAAAATAATATACTGTCACTGAGGAGGAAGCACACCTTGTATTTCCATGGGTTACTCTTGGAGCTGATGTTCTACACTCAAATACAGGCTTCCCTTAGGTCCTATGACACAGAAAGTCATTGAACTGTGAAGTCTAAAGACTGACACTGAATTGACATAACATATAACCAAAATAGCTACTTCACATGAAACAGATAAATACTCATTAAGCACAAAGGATACTCCAGTCTAGTGGGCTCTTGAAGAGGCATAACAGCCTGTCCATTTTTTTTCATCAAGATATTATTGTCCCTGCATATACTGTATGGCCATGGTCCAGTAGTCCCAAGTCGTCATTTGGCTATATATAGTGGTGTAACCTGGAGGACTGGGATCATGTTCATCTCTGTGTAACCGTGTGACTGTGTCCTGTGGATCCTCCCAGACTGATTGTAATGAGACTGCAGACAGTATGTGACAAAGCACCTTTTCCAGGCAGACAGATGAAGTGAGATGGTCAGTTTCATACCTGCTGAGAGACGGAGTAACCCTTCTCCCAATGTATCATATTTGACTTCAGCCACTGACAAAAACTGACTTCATATGTGCATGACAGAGTATGAAAAAGTGGGTTTCATATCTGTAAAAAATTTTGTCCAAAATCAAGAGTTCAACTGATGTGTACATTGGTCTGCGTACACTTTTATGTTTTGGTCTTCATCTCTGTATCTTTGCATGTGTGTTACATGTTACAGAGGGGCTAGCACTGATACACTGCCAAAAGGGGATGAAGAGTGTGTGAAGGGGAACAGCAGAGTAGCCTGGTTGTTCTGCTTTGTTTCACCATGACTGCATTGTCACATATGAGGATGGGCACTGATGTGAGTACCAAAGGAGACTAACTGGGTGCTGACCGAGGGCTCTCATCCATATTCATTGTCTAACACTTCATTGCCCTCAAAAACAGCACATGGGAAGGTCTCCACCCTCCTATGCCACTGAAGGCGACTTTTTTGCCTTTACTTGCATGTTGTGAGATGAAGCAGTAGCATTATTCCTTTTAGTTATTTATTGCATGTAATCATTCATTCTTTTCTGTATTCGTTTGAGCAACAAGTTTTTCTTTTTGGTAGTTTTTTTTCATCTTCCTAGCCATTTATACTGTAGGAGAATTGGGCAGACTGCTGCAGCAGCCCTGACTTGAGGATGTGTTAGTCATCTTTCATCCTGTGTGGTTAGAATATGATAAAAGTCACCTAGTAGATACATACATCTTGTATCACGTGTTTGAGCGTGACAAGCTTTTATGCATATAGACTTCCTTTCTTGGTACCTCATTTGGCATGCTTTTCACACACAGACCACACACACAAAACGATTGTACATACACTGTCAGCAAAACTTCTCAATGTGTGTTAACTCCTCGGTGTCTCATTTAAGTGTAGAATTGATGTCTGGCATGAAGTGCACACATTAGCACATACAGTATGTTATTAGGTCCTTGATCGGTACACACATCCATTTCTCTTCCTCATCTCAATCAGAGGATGCTTGTAGGGACATTATGGCTTGTGTGAACAATTCACCAGATTACTATAAAACTAAAAATTAAAAAAAAGCGAGTGGCACATGAGCACAAGTCCTCAGGAGGAGGTCCCTGGTCCTCCATGGGTTCTTTCATAGGATTTATGAACTCATCCCATGCTATATCTAATACTAACCAGATCCCTAAAATTTAATACCATATGTGAATTACCAGTGTGAATGTTAGGATTTGACATGAAATGTTAAGTAGTCGTCATCAAAGACTGAGTGTGTGTCTGAGAATATGCATCACATCAGGCTCAACTGTAGCATTTTCTGTTAATATATATGCATTATCGTGCAATATAATCTATTTTTGTGAAATAAAACCGCATCTAATTAATCAAGCAAATGCACACCAGACACTGTACTGAATATAAGTTATGTCTGGGAATGTGTTTTGTATTATTTCTACATAGCATGTGCTTTACATTTTATGAGTTCACCATGTATGTTTTCTTTACCATAACTTCCTGTTGCTAGCTTCAGTTTTTTAGAATAGGACATTGCATTTAAGATACTTTTTCCCTGTTACGTTTCATCTGATCTTTTTTTTTAAAGCATATTAACATTTCACATGACTTGAGTTCCTTCCTTGAACAAGATGGGTATTACGCTGCAACAGGCAGCATGTCTTTTTGTTGCTGAACAGATCTGGTGTATGTGGACTTTGGGTGACATTTCATTGAGTATTGTGGTTTATGTAAAACAGAGAGTGAAAAACAACAGAAGCATGAAGTCTGCTGCATATGTATTTTTATGTGTGCACTCTGTTCTTGTGTTTGTTTCCTTACCTGCTCACTTATCTTGTAATAGTCTCATTACTGCTGGTTGAGACTTCCACTTCATGGCATTGCCTCAATATGTGTAATATGTGCTCATTTGGCCTCTGAGTGTCAGTGAGCTACTAATGCACTGTGCAGAAAATGGCACAGTCTGCTTCTCTACACCTTCTGCAGTTCCCAAAGGGAGTTGAAGAAGGCAGATGGAGAGGCCACTGTGTTGCTTTATTAGAGGAATAACTACAGGTTGTGTGTATGATGGTGTGTGCACACATGCATGTAACTGATGCATTTACTCAATTACAAAACAGTGTTAAATTTAAAAACGAGACTTTTTGTCTTTATGAATAAATACTGATGATACTGAATCCTTAGAAATTACTGGCTTACTGTTTTCTGCAGGAGACACCAAAAGCATTTTTTTGTTGTTTCATCTGACGCTCACAGTGGCAGCCAGACATGATCTGACCAGAAAAGCTCTCCTACTTCCCCTGTGGTGTCAAGGGCTGTTTTATACTTTCTTTTTTAAGCAGGCAAGCGGGGGAGTTTGCAGCTGCCACTCGACTGCACATATGGGCACAGTGGTGGTGAGATGGGGTGGAGGGGGGGCAGGGACCACATGGCCCCCTCAGTCACACTTTTAGAGAGGGACAGCAATAGGAAACAGGAAACTCCCTGTGTGCACAATTCTTTTGATTATTATAAAAAAAAAAGACTACAAAAGAAAATAATTTAGAATGTGATAAACAATTCTTGGCTAGTTGTACAATGTGAACATGATCCAAACTCAAGCTGCAGTATTATTTCTGGAAAATCAACAATAGTGCTATTGCACTGTCCTCATAATTTATCCTATATTTACTGACACTTGCAGTGCCATCAGTAAATACTTCCAAATGTTATTCTTATGACTTCTGAGTAGTAATATAGACAACATTACATGTTACTAGAGAGCTCTGTTGCATTTACATATGATTTTTGTTCCTGAAATAATGTCTACAATCAAAACTGTAACAAAAGAAATGAATGTTTATACAGTATCTCTGTCCCTCTTTCTCATGCTCACATACTGTACACAGGTGTTAACAGATACATATTCAAAGAAAACCTTTTAAATGCTTTTCAAAAGTGTTACATGAATTCTTTTCAGAAAGACTAAAAATATTATAATCTAAAGTGTCCCCCTGGTGCCTTAAGCCCATACTTTATTTAGTTTCATAATGACAGTGTGTTAGAAGAAAAAAAGGGGGGGTTACTGAGACATCTTGATTTCTGTTCTGGTATTTGTGTATTTAGACATGGCTATTTAATTGTTTTACATGCTGTATCAACCTATGTCAGTGAAATTGTTTATGTAAATGCATTATCCAGTCATTGCTTCATCAAATAGAGTGAACACACTGGAACTTATTTGGGATTATAGATGATGACTCAGGAATAACTTAAATCTTTGTG